TAAAATATATAATAAAATCATGTTATAAGAGTATTGTTTGAAAAATAAATTGGATTTTTTAAAAATCGGATCAAAAAATCAAAATTTAATATGTTCCCAATTTCCGAATCAGAAACTTTCGCATAAGTGGACGAAAAACGGTTCTAGTATTTTTTTTTTTTTTGCGGATTTCAGAGCGAAAAAGAACATTATTCCAAAAACAATCGAAATCGACAGAATTCAGAATCCATTCCAATAACAGCACCTATAGTAATATTAGATGTTTCATTATTTATTATTATTACTATTGAAGGACGAGAAATAAAAAATTACCAGATGTTAAGAGCAACGCCATGAAAATTAGACCGATGAAGAAAGATTTTTGGGCTTCCATTACTCGTAAAAAAAACTTTATACTACCAATTGCACAAGTTTATAATCTATGAAATATTTTTACGTGCCCATAATATATATAATGTCTAGGTCATTTTATTTTAGGAAAAAAAAAATATATATATATATATATATATATTACATTTTCTGTATTTTTGTAATATTCTGAATGCGTAAGATCTTTTGTTCCATGTATATATATACATATAAGATTTCATATCTTTATATGAAAGTAATAAACCCTAATGATATACATGTAAAAAAATTAATTACACTTCTTATTTTCCAGCCTTTTTTTAGTAATGACTTTCAATGCAAAATAGATTTGCAAATCGGCTAGCAAAATCCTAATTCACTCTGTATAGTTTTTCTTTTTCTTTTTTTTTTTTGTAAACAATTTATTTTTGTGGTTAATATTTGTTACTGATAGCAACTAAATGGAAGTTAGGTGACTTAATTAATTTATATTTTTTGTTGGGAGTTATATGATCGTACTTGCAGGAATATTAATATTATTTTTGTAATTTAAAGTTCACAATTAATTATTTTAATGTTGTAAAACTTATTTTTTTAATACAATTTAATCATCAAATATTTAAGTTTTCTTCATTTTTGCAATGTAAGGATTGATTTCCTTTAATTTTCCAAATAAAGTTTGTAGATTAAATTTTAACTTGTTATAAATTTTAGATCATCAACTATAGTAAGGTGGTGTTTGCAAAAACTTACTTAAAAACATAAGTTAGTGATTGTGAGTTAAGTTGATATTAAGTGCTTAATTCTAAAAGTTGGGGGTGTTTGCAAAAAATATGGAAAATCAATTTAAATAGAAAAAACAGGTGCATGGGTGCCTTTAAAATTATAGCTTAAAGCAGCTTATTTTAAGAGAAGCAAAAGCAAAAATCGATTCTGAAAACACCTAAAAACAGATTATGTGGAAGAAGAAAAAAAGCTCATAATCTAATTTTAATTTTTTTTTCAAACACCACATAAATGGTTCTCTAGTTGCCCTAAATGTTTAAGAACACGTGGCAATTAAATAAACCAACAAAGACATGTTGTCCAAGAAGACAACTTATATGAGATACCCCTTCAAATTGCGATACGTGTCCTTAGCAAAAAAACCTATTTTTTCCTCATTTATGTATTGTCGCAAATACCCTTTGTACAATTATTAATTTAAAAAAAATCAGCAATTATAAATTAAATGTCAATTTTACCCTCTCTATTTTAATACAATTTTAAATCTATATTTATTGCTTAATTAAAATTTATAAAGTCAATTATATCATCTCATATATAAAAGGAAGAACTTTTGACCTATAACCTAGACCTAAACCTAGGGATATTTTAGTCATTTTCTAATCTCAAGAGAATACAAAAGAATATATTTTAGTCCGTGGTAAGTACATATTAGAGCAACTCCAACGGGAGATATCAAAATGGGACATTAAATACTCATTTGATACTTGATATAATACTTTGATACTTCTTGAAAAAAAATTCACTCCAACCACAAGTATCAAATAGATTATCAAATTTTAAATATATGAATAATTATATTTTTAAATGCCACGTGTCAAATAGTGATAGGTTAATTGGGTGGTTATATTTTTGATACTTTATTTTCCAGGGATTATTTTTGCACCTCCGGGTGGTTGAGTATCAAAATAATTCTCCATTTAATGCCTCCATTGGAGGAGGATTTTTTAATTTTAGAGCATCAAAGTGGTAGTTTTTTAGTTTGATACCTCATTTAATGCCTCCATTGGAGTTGCTCTTATACCACTACCTTTTATTATCATTTTTTTTCTCCTATTAGTTTTGCACACGTTTACTATTTATTATTTATATTAGATTTTTTCTTCTTAAAAATTCTGCACATTCCATAATATAATATATAATATATAATATAATAAATTAATTTTAGGAATTTTCATCTCTAAAAAAAATATGCACACATCCACGGACTTTAATTATAAAACAAATTTTTTAACATAAAAATAATTATCTTAAACTATCAGTATTATAATTTATTTACTATATTATTAGTAAATGAAATAAGTATCATATGGTCAACTAACTAAGTTTTCTTAATAATATAGTATTAACTTGCATGATCCCACGTCAATATATAAATTCAACATTTATATAACTTCCATATTATATATAACTTCCACGTTATATATATAACCGATCACATTATTTATAACCAATCACACCATATACAACTTCCAACTTAATTTTTCAACTCCTCCATTACAAGGTATTAGTATTAATATTTCATATTTTCCTCCATTAATATCTCATTTTCAAACATCTTGCACATCAAGAGTTTCATATTGTTTAAATCTTTCATGGCAATGACTTTTCGTTTTCATCTCAACAGTTGCAAACTTATGTTTGTTGCACTATAAGTAGTCTACTACCAAATCCTTTTTTTCCCCTGATGAGTCAAAATAACGTTTCACCAATCCGTTGTTGGATCGAGCTTCTGCCGAATTTAATTAAAGGTCATTTACGAATGTCTCATTGATTAATTCCTTTTTTTC